TAACTTATACATTTAATTGATTCAAAAGGTTGCAATAGTACTCTGAATTAATTGTTTTACATTTTGCAGATAGTCAATCAATAAAATACCTTTGAAGTCCCAAAAAACCGTTCCCATAAATTACCAGCCGATTGAATTGTGTTTGCCTTCTATGGGGCACTTCCTCCAGCTTCAGTCCATTGTTTGCAATGTTCTTATGTCTCTGGAGTATAGTGGTGGATCCATGTCTCATCAACAGTTATGAAACAACGCTTAATCCATTTTACTTCGCTTAGAACGATCCAAACAAGCTGTTAACAAATGTGACATCCATTTTGCAGAAAGCTTTTTCATCTGTAGTTCTTCATGCAAAATTAAATGGAATTGATGACTTGAGATGCCCATGATATTAGCAATTTCACAGACTTTTATTCGTCGATCTTTTAATACCATTTCATGCACTTTGTTGCTGTTTTTGGACGTCCACTACGTCGCTCATCTTCAATGAAATTCAAGAACCCAATTTTTTACTCCTGCATATGAAGGGGCACCTTCATCTAATTTTGAATTTCTTGTCCCGATAAACCTTTTCTATGTAAATATTTAATGACAGCACGCATTTCTAATGTTTCCATTATAAAAAAAATGCGAATGCGTCTTTTTTGAACATCTGTTTTTATATAAAGGAGTTGCCAGATCGAAACAAAATTCTACATGGGTTCATAACAGAGATGAGTTTCCAAAACAAATTTCCGAAATTTCCGAACTGCACTCGTACTGGCTAGACTGGTTTTCGTTGTGCTTTATGTGCTTAGGCCACGACCGATACAAATTTGTGTTCAACCTTCTTGTACAACTTCACTTTCTGATTAGTTAGGATGACACCGGAAATAATTTCCTGCCTTTTAATTGACTCGACAGCTTTTGTTTATTATTAGTTTTTTAAAATCCCATTTTAAAATACTATAATATTCATTAAAATCACGAATTTCGTGTTGTTTTGATGTGCACAACAATGGTATTGTCTCTTCGAAAATAAATACGAAATGAAATTGTATGTGACGTGCCCGCAATCTTTACAATCGGTTGGTACAACATGCCAGTCACATCGACATAACATTTTAAAAGTTTTGACATATCAACGTCCAAAAGCTTTGATGCATCTACTTGTATTCTTCTACCATGGATATGTTATTAAATATGTCATAACATGATGTCAAGCTGCTTTTTGTTTCACGAAGAGGCCAAGTCAGTAAAAAAGGCTTTTATTTATGTTCACCTTTAATTTAATACGCATTTCAACACGGAGTAAACATCTAGTTACCATCTTTTCTTATCCAGTTCTTCTTCTCGGATATTGCAATATAACATTGAGGTCATTCATTATCAACAGTAGATTCATTTGTCGATCTTGGCCTTTTGATGGATCCAAAATTACATTTTAATAGCCATGTAATAACAATGGTAAATAAAGCAAACGATGGGCCAAAGAATTTTCTGATCCATAAATAACAATTTCGCCTCCTGTTAGACCTATATTAGAAAACAGTTCTGTTGTATGGGATCCTCAATATGCAATATACTCAGATAAAATAGAATCCGTGCAAAAATCATTTCTGCTATATGCCTTGCGAGGTTTACATTGGAATAGTAATTTTTTAACATTATTAAACATTTTTTGACATATCGTAACATTATTTAATAAAGTAGCTAATGAATTAGTTTCTGTAGCTGTTTTAATTTTTTACTAAATTCCCATTACGATGCTGATCATGATGTGTACGCTATGCCTACGTAAAGAGAGGTCGCTCCCTCGGTCGGCAGGAGTGGGAATGTGAGGCGTGGGAACGTTCGATAAAAAAAGCCTGCCGTTTTCACAGGGGGGTTTTATCTTATCGATAATCTTCTGTTGGGCGAGGGATTTCTTCTCGGAAACCCCAGGTTTAGCAGTCGATTTCACGGCCGGGCACACCTTTCCAGTGCTGGGGCTAACTTTGTCGCCCTCGGTGAAAGGATTCTTGTGACGGCCTCTTTTGCGAGGTCCTTGACTGAGTTTACGGGAGCATCTGAAGATGGAAATCTCTTTTTCTTTTTCACTGGCTTCGCAGAGTTCTGTTCCTTAGGGGACTTGCTCTCCCCTGCCTCCAAGCGAGTGGGGGGAGTATTTGTAGCCCCATTTGGGACATCCTGCGAATTTGCATTTTTGCTTTTAACTGCTTTTTAGTTTTTGTTGTGAGCTTCGCCAAGCTATCATTCACTTCTTCTATTATCTAGTGCGCCTCCTAATATTGTTTCTGCTGCTGTCAGACTCGGAATATGAGCCACTACCTGTCGTTGAAGGCTGGGTCGAGCGTTCGGTTTCCCGGAGTTCCTCAGACTCTCTGTCTATCTTTTTGCCCGAAGGCTGTGTGCTTGTAGCAATACCTTTGGCCACATATGCCAAGGCATCCACATATGCGGAAGAATTTTTCTCACGATCGCTGGTTGCCGACAGGGTGTGACTCGTGGCTGGATCACACACACCCGACGGTATTTAGGCCCTGCACCGTAACGTTATTCTCTTTTCCTTCTTCCATGTTGTGTTTTTGTTTTAATTGAACACCCCTGTTGTCAGTTTTTTGTCCGCGGGGAATACAAAGATTCCCTGAGAGGCGTGGTCACACTATTCCGCTCCAATCAGTTCGCAACTGGACGTCCTAGTTCGAGCAAAATAGTGTGATAATCCATCCCCCCTATCCGCCGTTGGGGACGCGCTTGGTAGAGGAACTGAAAACAACCCCAGGTAAGCCAGGCTTAGTAATTCCTCGTAAGTGAAGATTTCATTCTTATTTTTTTTTAAATCGAATGCGATGGCCCTCTTTAGGAGACAAAACATAAAACGCTTTTTTGTCTGGTTTAAGTCATCAGCTGTATAGGAACAAAGGAGTTTTAGGTTGACTTAGTTCGATTTTGGTCCTACTCTCCTTTGTTCTTTTCTGAAGAAGCCAGCCGATAACTTAAGCCAGTCAAAAAAGCATTTTATGTATTCTCATCTTTAATTCAAATAATACATTTTCGTGTGTGCATTCATATCTTATTTTGTACTTTTTCATCCAGATTCTGTTATTTCTCTTACTGGTTTTGTTTTCTTTCTTTTTTAAGCACAAAAATCGCCAAACTTGTATCGCCCGCTATCGACATTGTCTGTACAGTTCGAAATCAAAAGCAAAATGAATGCATGAACCATGTCCGCTGAAAGCTTCATGCACACATACGTGATTTTGAATTCATGCATTTTGACCGTATACGGGGCACTTTAATATTGCCGTACACTACAAAGTCGAAAATGTTTCCGAAAAGGCGTTCCTTACATTTTGCATTGGAACAATAACAGAAATATTTAAGATTTCATTTGATCATACCAATAACTTGGAAGATGCATTATTTTTCTTGCAAAAGGTCAGCAATGTTAGTGAACACTGATTTTCCAACATCAATTGTCTCTATTAGGTTTTTATTCTCTTTTGGTTATTGCTGTTGTAGCAGTAGTACATGTAAGTGTTTCCTGACCACAGACCGACCTATCGAGTCATAAGAAGTCAAAAAAGGTTTCCTTGTCCGCACCCCAAGGGCTGCTGGCTAGCGCCTTGAGGAACTTGTTCCTACTTTTCATCTTGTTGCAAATATCTGTGGCTGGCGCGGACGACCCGACCTGCACATTCAGGTCTCCACAGACCATGGTAAAGAGTATGGCCGTTGATTTCATGGCGCATATTTTTATATTCCTCGCGTGGAAGTATGCGCAAATCTGCACGAGATACGGGTTCAGCCTTTCACATCTGTTATCGACCACTAGACCCGACGCCATGATCGTACAATCATCCGTATACGTTACGATCTCTATGCCGTCTGGAGGCCACAAACGATGCAAATTTGGGTTCAACCATGGTACAATGAATTCAAGGTAGGGCAGAACTACCATATGATTTCAATTTTTTTATTTTTCTGGTTTAATATGTCAACTTCATTTGTTTATGTGTGCGTATTCTTTTCAATAATAAAAAAATTGTTCAGAATATATTCAAATTCGGGTGTTTTCATAATGCTTATTGCAACGTATGCATCGACAAAGTCTACAGTTTTTGTCGCGAAATAAACCATAAGATATATATATAGAACATGATTTTGAAAAGAAGTGTTGACCTTTCATTCAGTTATCGCGGTTTTCAATTATTTATTCAAAATAAATGCAACAAGTTGTTTGATTTTTTATTGTTTTGTTACTAATTCTGACATTACAAGCCAAACAGGTAGACCTCTGTACTTGCAATTTTTTCAAAGTTGGCCTACCTTCTCTTCATTGTACCATGGGTTCAACCATCTTGTACAACTTCACTTTCTGATGAGTGATGATGACATCGGGAAGAATTTCGTGCCCTTTGACTCGACAGCTTTTGTTTATTATTAATTTTTTAAAACCCCATTTTATAATATTATAATATTCATTAAAATCACGAATTTCGTGTTGTTTTGATGTGCACAACACAATGGTATTGTCTCTTCGAAAATAAACACAAAATGAAATTGTATGTGACGTGCCCGCAAGCGTTACAATCGGTTGGTACAACATGCCAAGTATCAAAAATGTTTATTATTTGCGCAACCGTTCGTGTGCGGCTCTGATGTCCATCTATAATATGTCCGTGGTAAACGAATACAGGTAGTTACATCGACATAAAATTTTAAAAGTTTTGACAAATCAACGTCCAAAAGCTTTGGTGCATCTACCTGTATTCTTCTACCATGGATATGTAATTAAATATGTCATAACATGATGTCAAGCTGCTTTTTGTTTCTCGAAGCATTCAAGTCAGTACAAAAAAGCCTTTAATTTAATATGCATCCTTACGCATTTCAATACGGAGTAAACATCTAGTTACCTTCTTTTCTATAAACGCATTATTTAAAAATTGCCGCAGCCAGTAGTTGGTAAACTCATAGTATGTACTCTCCCTTCATCAAACTACAAAGTACATTTGTCGGTTTGACGGCGAAGAATATATGGATCGGCTTTACTATAAAAGATTTATAATTTGATCACATACGCTTTAATATATTAAAATTCGTCGAAATGGGTAAAAAAAGGAAAAACGCTATGGTGGAATTCGATTCAAGTGATAGTGAATCGGGATCCAATATTGAGTCGGTACGTGCAATTTGTTATTGTATATTAATTGTAGATAGCGTAAAACATTCTCATTTGTGCATGTATTCATTTTCATGCGTACTTATTTCGTTATTAATATACCACCGCAGGACTTTTTGGCGCTAGGAAAACGAAGGAAAAGAAAGTTAAGCAATGCCAAACATTTGTCGGCCCTATCGGCTTCCTCTGATTCTGAAGATGATGTGGTTAATAAAGAAATAGGCGGTCATGCGATTACTTCAACAACTAAAGCAATTCTCGAAAATGACCAAATGGCCAATGTTTTGGAGAATGCCGACCATGAGGAAGGAGAAGTGTCTGATAAAGAAAATGAAAGGAGCAAGGAAATCTCTGATACATCTAGTGGTAGTTCGGATTCCACTTCTTCAGAATCGAGTTCTGATTCGGAATTCGACGACGGTTATGATGAAAATTTAATGGGCGATGAAGAAGATCGCAAGCGTCTGTCTTGCCTTTCAGAAAAGGAGCGGGAAACTGAAATATTTAAAAGAATTGAACAACGAGATATTATGCGCACGAGATGGGAGATTGAACGAAAATTGAAATTAGCAAGACGAGGCGAAAAAACTACATCACAAACAAAGTCTAAATTAAAGAAAGAAAAAAAGAAAAAATCAAAAAAATCTTTGGCACCAACAACAGTACTAGAAGGTGCCATGGAAGTAGAAATTTCCGCAAAAATGGGAAATAATGTACCTGTAGACGATATGGAACCCTTCGATACCTCTGAGACGAATGACCACGCTTCCTCGAATGTGGTTAATGATGAGGCTACAAGTGGCAACGGCGAGTACTTTGACCACAAAGAAAGATCAAAAGAGAGAAAGAAAAACGTGGAAATGAACCGTACCGATGACAAGAGAAGCAATGCAATGGCACTACTAAAAGCTAAAAGAGAAGGAAAGGCCAAAAGAGGTAACTTTGTTTGCATTTTGTTCATAAAAATATATTAAAATCTGTTTCTCCTATAATACATGTAGATTTTAGGGCTTAATCCTAGTATAGCTATAACTCTCGGATCGGTCTGAAATGTATACCATAGATAGATTTTGATTACTAATACGTAGATCTTCCCGGCGGTCTTAACTGGTTATCGGGTTTTTAAACCGAAAGTTCGGGTAATAAACGGAAATATAACCGGTTTTTTAGAACAGTTACAAGTATCCAATGAAAGCTACATACAAACATTACAATGTTTAGAAAAATTATGGATCGCGTAGCCGGTGTTGGACATACCTCTGGGGTGAAATTTTCAATCCCCGGCCGAAGACCCGCTACTTAAAAATGTTTAGATACGTATTAGTGGAGAAAATCTCAATTTCATGATTTGCATCACATTTATCTTTGGAACTATAAGAGATATCATATGATACCATTTTGGAATAATGCAGCATGTTGATCTTAGTACTCCATAGTGGGTCTATTTTCGAGTTTTTTGGTATTTTTCAAAAAGTACTGATATAATAATACCAATTTTCTTGCATTACTCCGGATTCGGGTCAAATAACCCTATCATATGACAACTTGTTGGAGTATAACCATTTTGTAAACCCGTATAAAAACCTTATTTTGTATTCGAACATTCCGATCGAATAACCGGCTAATTCCCACAAAAAATTACTTGTCCTTAATCAGGTTTAAAATACCCACCTGCTGTAAAAATTTCAAAATGATCCAAGCTAAGCCCCTAAACTCAACTTGCTCCTTAAAAAATTAAAAAGTAATATTTGTAGACATAGATATTAATAATCAATAAAAAAATTCGTCTTTAACTATATACTAGTAAAAATTTGTTGGTTAAACCTCCTAAATAAAAATATCTTGTACTCCTTTCTATAAATCTAAAAGTTTCATTTGATTTGTAAAAATTTTCATTCAAATTGCTAAAGGTTTCATTCCACTTGGAAAAGGCTTATTTCCTTTGCAAGAAATTTCATTGAACAGTGTTGGCATGTATCATCAGAAATGGTTCGAAAAGTAAAGAAGGGACTTGATCGGTCCACCATAGGCCTGAAATTAAATTGGCCGGCTTAACTCTGTTTCGTAAAAACTTTATCATTTTTTTAAATTTATTTCCAGTGGTAAGTTTTTTTACTCTGATTCCGGGAAACTATTTTTGGGGGCTGACCCGGGACCCGAACGTCCGGTTTAAGACCAGGGCTTGACCCGGTTCCATTTACCCAATATATACAATATAGGTATCGCTTATTAAAATACCTATCCAACAAGTGGTCACTTGTTGGGTTATTTAAAGTGGTTCGGAAGTTATAGTCAAATTATCGATTTTTAGACCCGGATTTAAAAAAAGCGATGGTACGAGACACAAAATATTTATTCACATTTAAATGCTGGAGTGCTCTAACGATAGCCACTGTGGTTTTCTAGCCAAATATAAAGAAATCACACTATCACGATTGATTTCCATCACAAATAAATTTTTTTCTGGAAAAATCTCACAAAATGCTTTTGTACGGTTGTAAACAATATAATGAGCTGTCACTGGAATAATTTTTGCAGCTGTCGGACGTCGGAGTGGCTTAGAAATGACGGAACATTAATTCTTATAGACGAGATTAGGAAATCTAAAGGTATATTACCTTTTAATATTTTTAGTACCAATATGGAGTGAACATAATACATCTGTTTTTAAGTGGAGGCAATCTAGTTAAGTTTAGCCTGCTAGAATAAGAAGGCAAAACAAAATTACTATTTCAATGTAAACTTCTTAATGTAGCAGAAATTGTTTTTGCACGAATACTATTTTATCTGAGGATATTGCATATTGAGTATTATACAATAGAACTGAAATTTCTTTGGCCCACCGTTTTACAAAACCTACAACACCATTTGATTTATTTACCATTGTTATTTCATGGCTATTAAAATTTAATTTTGGATCTTTTAAAAGACCAAGATCGACAAAGAAATCTACAGTTGACAATGCTATCAGCCATCCATGGCATCGGAAGAACGCCATCTGTCTAGACAAACCAAAGGCTAGTTTTGGCGCAATTACGTTCAGGATGGTGTAGTCTCAATTCTTATTGGGCACAAATTGCTGCACCTCTTTAATTAGCTTATTTACCACAATTATGGGAATGAATAATTTAACATCATCTGCGTACATTAACAATTCGAGTAATTTATGGAATTAGGTAAATCGTTGATAAATAAAGGAAAGACAAACGCTCCAAGGCGAATTCCTTGCGGAACATCCGATGGAACGTTTATCGATTTAGATACCTTTCAAACAAAAGTATCTATCTATCTTGTAAGTAAGATAATATTCATTTGACTAAGTTTGTGCTGAAATTTATATATTAGGAGTCCATTCTTAAAGACTTATGTAAAGGTATAAGATTTTTTTTTAGAAATCAGGAAAGTGACCAAATTTAAGTGAATAATTAAACAATATAGTTAATTATGCTATTGGGGCCTGGCACAAACTATTGGATACCTCTTGACGTTGTAGGAATGGCATACAAATTTGATCAGTCTGTGACAACTTATAACGATATGAATCTTTGATTTGACAAAATGTATTGGAATAGGTTGTGGCAAAACAGTCTGCGAAACTTTCAGCAATATCTGTGGCTGTGAAAAATTCCTTATTGTTACATTTCAATACAGAGGACTTTGAGGAAACCTTTCGTCTCAGTTTAACGAAATCATAAAAAGGTTTAGGATTGGATTTAAAATTATTTTTAATCTTGTGGAGATAATGATTATACAATCTACGAGATTCTAAAGTATGTTTAGACCTAGCCACAGAGTAATTAGTGCAGTCTATTGTTAAGCCCGAAAAAGCATATTTTTTAGAATTTTGTAAACTTGATAACTCAAGTGTTATCCATGGATATTTATTGGAATTTTGAAATCTAACTATATAAATCTATTTTAAATATCATAAAATCTATCAATTACATATTCCAGATCCTTATGACAGGCACACAGAGGCCCAATTTACAGAGGAAATTAGGGTATTGAGTTTTCGAAAATTAGTTTTTTTTATATAAATGAGGACAGTTTTAAATGAATTGGATGTCAAAGGAACCAAAGCTGGCATTGGTAAGAAAAAAACACGTAAGGACCTTTGATAAACGATATCAGCGAGGGTTTATTCAAATTGCAGAACCTTCTACGTTAACCAATAGTTCAAATTACCATGAATGTCTACATAAATTAATGAAAAAAATTAGAACAAATTTGACATAAAATTAAACAAGGCTTGCTTTTCTAAGTTATATTTAATTAAGAGTAGGTGATTCGGACGACTCATTATGTTAAAGAAACGATGGACCATTCTTCCATACGCTTTCCGGTTTCCGGCATGATTTTGAGATGTTGCACACCATCACCATTGATCTTCCTCTGAATTTACCAGAATTTCAGCAACTCGATTCGCTACGTACTGCTTATATTTACGGTGGTCAGACTTTATCCATTGTATAACTGTATGAGAATCACTCCAAAAATACGTCTGAAAATTCCCAAATTCATAGTTCTTTGCAATAGTTTCCTTCAAACGAACAACCATCACTGCTGCTGGTAGTTTAAGTCTTGGAACAAGATGATAACGTAGTGCCCAAAAGTTTTTCCTATGACAAAGGCTATTTGAATGTTATTTTGTCCACATTATGTTCTCCAGTAAACCACGGCATCAAACCACTGGCATCACAGAAAATGTGAAGCTGTATTTTCTCAATTGAACCATTGCTAAAATAATATCGTAGGATCTTAAAAGTTTCCACCTTTTTTAACTCTTGCAACCAATTCGTGAATTTCTGATAAATATCTTCTGAAAGTTTTTGGTCCCATCCTAATTTCCATCTTAATACTTCTTGCATTAATTATTTAGAACATATCATAACTTCATTGGAAACTTTATGAAATTTCAGAACAATCCACAAAATTTTCCTCCATATGTATGCCCAATCTCTCAGCTACTCGATCAGAGTTAGTAATTAAGATATGCATTTCGAATCTACCGGATTTATGAATTTTCCGCACTGATTCAGCTACTTCGATCGCTTAAATTTCTGAATCAAAACAATCAACGTATTCGTCGACAAATTGTGCAATTGTTGGAGAACATGTTGCGCCGAAAATGAACCGTTGCATCACAAACGTCTTTACAGGTTCTGACGGATCGCCATCTCTCCACAAAAAGCGTTGAGCATCTTGATCCTGTTTGGGGATATTCATCTGGTGAAACATTTCTTTTAAATCGCCGCACACTGCGATCTAATTTCTTCAACAGGTTTCTCCACCTTTTCATATTTTCCAAAATCAGCATTCAACAATCTATGATGAAATTTCTGACACGAAGTGACACCGAATTTCTTTTTAGAAAAACATTTCACAGTTCGGTGACCTTCTTTTAGTAATGATAAACATATTCCCATCGCCTTAACCTTTTCCCATTTCGTTTGCATAGGTAATTTTGTGAATTTATCACAAACTGCTAGATTATTACAAGCATATCCGTTGGACTGTTTCTTATCAACATTAGTAGTAACCGAACTATGCTTGGAATATTTATCATGTTAAGACATTTATTCAGCCAATTGAATTTATTTTTGTTGTAGGCAGTTTTGAAACTAACTCGCTCAAGAGCAATGGATTTGCTAAGTGATAGTCACCTCCAGCCGACTGTATAAATGTGGTTATATTGCTTACTTTAATTGCGAATTTAAATAGCCCGTCAAAATCTGATTCCTTAACTGATCAGGCATTCCATACGTTTTAATTGCACGACATTATGGGAGTCCGAATAACCATATTCCGCGGTGGTGCAGTTCAAAGTTTCAACAAACGTTAGTTACTCTTCAGGGAACCCAGAAAACTTTGGCAAATCATATATTTTCCTATGATTATGTGGTACAACACCACTAGTAACTTGAGTGGGCGCTGAG